TCCCAGACCAATATAATCTGGACATCTTCAAGACTAGAGCGAACAGGCATCTTCTAGGCAGGCGTGTACCATCTTAGGCCTCATCATCGCTTTCCATCAGACGAGATTGTGGTCAAACGCCTAGCCTATTAAGCATTAAAAATACTTAGTATGTATAAACAAAGTATATACAAAAAAGTATATATAAACAGTCATGTCCCAGGTATAACTCACGAAAAATAAATGCTCCTTGAAGGAACCAAATCTTTGAGCAAAAGGCAGATGCTCTATCGTTGTCCGTCGTTACCACAAACTAAAGTTTCAGTCTCAGTCTTTACGCTCATTAGAGAATTTGAGCCTTAAAACTCCATCACATAATACAACCTTTTATAAATATTTTTTTGTGTTCAAGCTGTGCGCCTCTGGAACTCTCTCCCCGTTAACATCAGACGTGCCCAGACGATTGGTTTATTTACGAAGCAGATTAAAGATTTTTTCCTTTCACAGTAGTTGTTTGTGTTATTCCAACTGTATGTATGTAAGTATGTGTATATCTCTCTACTTATTCATTTAATATTTGTATACTTGCATAGTAGATATTTATGAGTATATTTAATCGTGAATCTTTTATAGTAATTATTTTTATTTGTTATATTAGCACACCCCCTCTTTTATTAAATTTCATCTCTCCATCCTATGGTTGTCTGGCAGAAATTGCTATATAGCGATAAGACCGCCAATTGTTCACTATTTTAAGATTTCGCCTAGTCCTATTAAATATTACACAATATTTAATTTGGTGTGCACAATAAAGTGTTATCTATCAATCTATCTAAAGGTACCCTTCGGTTCACCCGCATTAATTTAAGAAAAAAGGTTTAAATGGGTCACCCTTAAAAGATAATCATATGCTGTCACAGTTTTTTTTATAGTAAATTATAAGGAAAACAATTCCGTCCTACGTGTTTTTTGTGTAACTTATACCGTTCACGCAGCGCACGCAATGGAAGCTCACAATGGAATATATTTTCCAGTTTTTGCAACATTTTTTATTGGTGCTTCGCTTCTTTTAGTTGCAGCTTTATTTTATGTAGCCTTTCTCGATGCATGCACTATTTAATATAATGTAATATGTTTTCTAATCGGACCGTTAGTTCCTGAGATACGCGCTTCAACCAGACAACAAACTTTTCAGCTTTGTAATATTAGTATACTTGTAGTTAGTGAAGAACTCCCTTGTAGTTCAAATGGCAAGAGCCCAGCATGAATGAACAGCTAAAAAAAATCTACTTGCAGATTTTTGTTTCCTGTCTTTCTGAAACCAGGACTATGTGGTATTTTTTTCTAGTAATAATTTTCTGTAGATTTATAAAATTAGCAGTTCAAAGCTTAAAAAATAAGGAGATTGGGCCCAGTGCAGGTTGGCGGATGCTAATGACTGCAGATGCAGCCTTTACCGACGGCTTAACGTACCTTTCGAAGCATGGAGGATCTCGAGATATTAAGTTTTTGCACACCCATCCTTTGACCGCCCATTACAAAAGTTGTTTAACTTCCGCGATCGCAGAACGAACGCGCTAACCACCGGTACTGTACTATGGAGCTCGTCTATTCATTTTACATGGTACTTTATGGTATATGGTATGGATAACCGTTCGTCATTAGTAATTTATCGATTTAGCCAGCGGCCAGTGTTGCTAGGTCCGATTTTTTTAAATCGAGAGGCGTTATAGAAAAAAAGCAGTAGATGTATGGAGAGCTACAAGAAAAAAAAAGACTAGCAGCGGCGTATTTTTTCCGATTTGCACCCAAGAGTTGGTAAATCCAATCAAGATATAGACAGCAACGAATGTATTTCTGTGGCTTCTGCCGTCCCTAAAAGCGCGTTTTTTTTTGACAATATTTTTTTTTATAATAAAAAAGGTTACCTACATTATTAATGGCGGAAAATGCAACTCAGATACATGTAGAAAAACAGTAGAACAGGAGAAATTTCAGAAAAATAGGAGATTTCCTGTAAAATCGGGAAACATGGCAACACTGCCAGCGGCGTACGGCCATAAGTAAACAGGATGAGAGCGTTTCACGTAATCCTGGTACCTATGCTATAGAAGATTATGACTACCATTGCGTCACGAAGTGTCAGTACTCGGCATCCTATCGGTATCTAAAAGAGATAGGATAGTGGATTTCGAATTGGAGCGGCTGTCTGGGGAAGTAACCTCCACTTCGGGTAGGGGATTAGTTCAGGGTAGGCAACAATGCGAGTGGTAGGTATTTTTTGGATCGCAAGCGTCTATAGCCTATCGTGGCCGCGTATGCTTGTTTGCTCTGAGTGAGAGTCGGGCTCAAAGGGATCCGTAGCGTTGCACAAGGTTTATCCCTTCAAAGTCAGATTGGCAAGTTTGTGTTAAAAAGTGTAAAAATAGGTATCATTTTATTCTATTCGTAAGCATTTTACTGCAAGATGTTTAATTCTGGGGAAAATATTAATGGTAAATAATAATCTAATTGGTCCTTTCCGATCTCTTCTGGAACCCGAACTGAGTGGAATTTTAAAAGCAAAACTTTTTTTCGGGCGGGGTTTAAATGGAAAAATGTCATGGAAAGAGTGAAATAATAAGAGGAAGACCGGCCGGATATTTATTTAATTTTCTGGACGTAAAAAATAAAACGGAGGGCTACAAAAACCATATATATATATATATATATATATATATATATATACATTGGTGGTCACACAATTAAAAACACACCCTAATAACCACAAAAAACTTACTTATGGTACTAAAATTAGCTAAAATTAGTATTTAATCTAGTGTAATTGTTATTAAACTATACACGACGTTGTATAGTTAATATATATATATATATATATATATATATATATATGAGTGTGTGTGTCTGTCTGTGTGTGTGTGTGTCTGATACGTTATACCTTATGCACCGCCTAATGTTAGGTTATTTAAGAAAAGTAAGAAGTTTTACATCAGAGTTGTGATCCGTGCACACAATTTTTTTTCAAGTAATATTTTCTTACTCATTTTTTTTGTATTTCTCTTTTATTCATAAGCTAGTTGGAAATAAATTGTACCAATTACAGATAGCGGCATAGCTGAGACTTATTAATAAAGGTTTCATAAATTGTTGTCCTTACCTTGAAAATAAAACAAGGAAAAAACCTCTACGCAGAGTTTAAAAGTGTAGTTTTACAGTTATAACAATATTTTCTGATAGTTATTTATAATGACTTCCAATCAACAAGGTCAGTAGACCCTTGTCGGTTATAATGAAATATAGCAATGTTTGTTTGGGAAATATGACTGTTTTCATTTAATATAATATATAAGGCCGCTATCAGGTGAAAATCTCAACACACAATAACAAACATCACTAAAAAGTTACTTCTCGGATATCAAGCTGTCAATCCTCACGCTGGTAAAATAGCAAGGGTCAAACTTCTACAAATGTTAAATTAATACATAATTTTGCTGCACTTGGGTTAGCCTTTCTGTGTGTTACTTAACCACATTACAACTAATGTGGTTAATTTAAGGAAAAAGGAAAAGTTGAGTCAAACTTAAAAAAATGACATAATTATACTGTCGTGCAATTTTTTGCAGAACTTTAAAAGAGCAACACCGTCATACATGATTAAATAATTTAAGGGCCCTATACATTTAGGGGGATGAAAAATAAATGTTGTCCGATTCTCGGAGCTACTGCATATGCATATAAAATTTCACAAAAATCAGTCGAACTGTTTCGGAGTACTTCAATTACGCACACCGCGACACGAGAATTTTATATATTAGACTAGCTGACGTACTAGCGTACCGCCATAAAAATAGGGGCAGGTGGTAGAAGAGAAAATTTAGTGTTGTATGTATTTTTTAATACCACATTATAAAAAAGTAAATATTGTCCAAAAAATTTTTAGAAGTGTGTAACGTAGTGATCTATCAGTTTCTTGGTATAACATTCCTCCCAACCCATATGAGAACACTACGTTACAATACCCAATAGTTTGTGCTTTGGCGCGAAGGCGCATTGTAGGTTTCAGAACACTACGTTACAGGTGGACAACCATTATCACTTAAGGATATGAAAAATAGATAGTGACCGATTCTCAGACTCACGGAATATGCATATAAAATTTTATAATAATCGGTCAGGCCGTTTCGGAGGAGTATGGTAACTAATATTGTGACGCGAGAATTTGATATATTAGGCTAATTCAATAAAGGCCCTACCTCTATTGAAATACGACGGATTTTCCGCTCGAATTGGAGCGCCCATCTGGGTAAGCAACCTCTACCGTACAGAGGATCACAGTAAAATAACACTACCTTTTGGTGGCAAAAAATCGTAATTTTGAGCGCCCCGTTTACCCCCTTAGAAAAGATTTTGACTTTTTCCTATAGAAGTAAACAGTACATTTGTTCTTCCTATTGTAAGTCAATCTACAATATTTGCAAATACTGTTTTCCTTTCTTTGTAATGATCGTTCTACCGCAGCTAGTTTACGGAAAAAACGATAATATGCACAACTTCAAACGCCTGAATCTCTAAATAGTGTTCAATAAATTAGATCAAATTAATTACTACGACATCAGAAATATGTTTTTGTTGTAACATGATGTATTAGAATGATTTTCCATCTCTACTATTATCAAAAAAAGAACATCTAACCTCCGTGAATTTTCCCAAAAAATAATGCAGGATTACCCATATTTTGATAGTGAATTAAATAAAATTACTATCAAAAACTTTCATAAAACTAACCTACCATTATTGAACTACTAAAATATTTATATATTTTTATGATTAGTTCATTAATAATTATTTTATAAGACTCGAATCATCACCCGTAAAATGCAATATGACAAGTGCAAATCTACCTACGCTCCGATCAGTACGGCAGCGGTGCAATTTTGTAAAAGGACTCTTAACATCTGAAGGGGTAATGTAAATTATGGCGCCAAGTTTAAAAAAAAAACATAATTTCATAAGTCACTCACCGATAAACGACAGAACGACCTCCTTCCAAACAGAAGGTTTTTCCACTTCCTCCGCCACAGCAGTCCCAGTCACACTTATCTTATAAACCATTTCGAACCAAGACAATAACCAGATGTAAAAATCCTTTTATATACACAGCGAGATTGTTGAAGAAAAGACACTTTATCTATCACGTATTTTAGACGAATACGAAATGACGCACTATGTAAATGTTTGACTAGAATAAAAGCATTATAGCGGTAGCGCAAGCGAACTTGTAGGATTCTGCGGAGCACCTTTACGACTGATACAGCGTTCAAATACTAAACGACAAACAAGAGTTTGATAGTAATTGTGTCAATAGAACGAACGGCCGCTGGATTGTGAAGCTAATGCAAGAAGCGAGTTTATTGTCGTTTCTTGGCCATAAAAGTTTGCTGCAAACAACACATTCGTGTGAACTAGGCCGTAAGAAAGAAAATACATTGTGTTTATCACTGTTACAGTGATAAAAGGGAATTAGTAATAGTAATAACATTTCTAAGGTTGTCAAATTTTATTATCGATTCGACTATAGTCAATGTCACGTCAAATACATAGTAAATGTGTAATTTTTTGACAAATGGTTATTTTTTCTATAGAATTTAACTGTAGTCAAATTTACCTATAGATGAAACAATGCGGCCTTAGGAAAGATGACGAAATCAATATTTCATGTGTTCGTCGGTAAATTTTACGGTAGATAAAGCTGATATTAGTTTTAGATTTCATTATTTTAGAGTTGGTTTCAAAATCGAAAATCTTATTTTTAAGTATGCTGAAACACTAGAAAATGGAATCTGACTAACATTCGTCATAAAGGCAACCACATTTTCTTGGAAAGTCGCTTTCGCTAGATTACTAGTAATAAACAACATTAAAGGAAGCTAATAATAACATTATTTTACACAACATTGGCAGAATTGAACATTCTTAGTATTAGAGTAAAATCACAAAGGAAAATTAATCTGACAGCCGTCGTCATCCAATTTTCCCTAATATTTATTGACATTAATGTTTTTATTTGCATTCTTATAATGGATCACTTTATCATTTACGATAACCAGTGAATTATATCATAATTTATGCCATAATGATATTAGTTCAAGGCATTCGTTACGGAATGGCGTGACATTCATTTATTATAGAAACTCTTATTAAGATTAAAATATTATATAAGTCCTTCACACCGATATGGGCTGCGCAGACGAGGGATCTTTGTCAGCGGAGGACAAAAGGCTTTGAATTCTGAAGGAATTGTCCACCGAGGACATGTCACAAACTCAACCATAGAACACAGGAAGAGGTTAGAAGATCCTTGTGGGTTGGGCAGGTGCGCTACAGTTATATTTTTTTTTTTAATTTTAGTGTACATAAAATTATGAATCGTTAAATCTGCTTTAGTTTTGCAAAAACTGTGTTGCAGAATTAACGCCCATTCCCGTATAATATGAAACAGTGTTCCTATCAATGTATAAAATTAATTAAAACAAACTGTATAGAGAGAAAATTAAAATGAGACAAAAATATTCACAATTTAAAATCCATCGAAGGTAATTTCAAAACAAAAAGTATTTCCGAGTGCATTTTTATCAATATTTATAACAAACCAATACTAAATTTTACCAAAAAATTAAAATAAGGACTAAAATATAACATTTGCATTTTTATGCTCACATTAGAAGGTAGGTAAACACAGATAATACAAATCTATTAAAATTACAATATTAAACCTACCTGGACACTACAAACCAATAAATCATGATATAGAATAGTTAAATCCAATATAAGACACAATTTTGCACACATCGTACCAACATCACTACCAATATGTGTGAGCAAATGCTCATAACTTGACCATAACTTAGTTCTCATTCCGTCGTTGCTGTGTGAACGCTGATTGGTTCGATTGGTTGATGTCGCGTCGTTTGATTAGCTATTATCTATTAGGTGGAACAGTAGAGGGGGCGAGCTGGCGACATCGGTTCCCGTACAAACGGTCTATGAGATGTTAGACCTACCTTTCTGACCTCTTTCTGTATTCTGTGGACTCAACGCACACAATGTACGAGCATTTGTTGCCCGAAAATTTGAAAAAAGCCCACACTATGGAAGTTAATATTCTCAGATTACGTTGTGTTGTAATTAACATAAAGTTTAAGAAAAAGAGAAGACGTTTTAGAAAAGAATACTGGGTCTATCTCTTTAAATCGGATAGAGCGCGCAACGCAGACTAAAGTTCGCTGTGTGCGTTTCTGCGCCTAGTCGCATGACTTAAATTTTTTGTCGGAGACACCCGCGTACTTTTGTCCTGTCCGGTCTTTCGGTGTCTTTCACATACGGTTACCATTTTATTATCTATCTAATATAGTATTTTCGATGCCTCTAAAAATATATTAGATAACAAAAAATATAAAAAAAATATTGTATGTGGGTAAAATATTTACTTTACTTTCGAAGTGAGTATATTTTTGCTGCTCTATACCTTAATACTTCAGTTTTAATTTTAAGAAAGCTTTTCCTTGCACAAGTCTGCTTTAAGCAAAATATAGTAGTTTCGCCTACTATCTTTTCTTTTTAAATACAGTATTTAATGCCCTAACCCTATAGTAGGATACTATATTATATAGTGGGGTTGGCAACTCTACTTTCCAATACACAAAAGAGGTTAGAAGAGTGATCAAAGACCGTTTATACGGGAACCGATGTCGCCGGCTCGCCTCCATTACACTTCCAACTAATAGATAATAAATAGCCAATCAAACGACGCGACATCAAAGAATTGAACCAATCAGCACTCACACCCAAGAGCAAAGACGCAATCAGAACCAAGTTTTGTTCAAGTTATTAGCATTTGCTCACATATAACTTCTAACCTCTTTCTGTGTTCTGTGGTGTCGTCGTCTTCGGTTATTCGGGGGACTTTTTGTTACTCGACTTCGTTGAAAGCGATCTATTTTACAGGATAAATAAGGCCGCGGATAAAGGTATTTCGTCTGCGCAGGCTTTAAGATATAGGTGCGCACGTAATAACGATTCTAGAAATTTGTTGATTTTAATATAATATTGTTTGTGATTAGGTCTAAGCTACTAAAATTATTTGGTCCATCCACATTGTGATCTAAGATAAAAACTCTGTGTACATCAGTCTATAACAAATATTGACACTTCAGTTCGGTTCTCTTACTGGATTCTTGAAGATACCCTGTGACTCATACTTGGCTACGTGATTCCGGATATATTACCTTGTTTGTTTGGATAGTATAGGAGCGATATTAGCACTAAAAGATACTTACGGAAATACTCGTATGAAATTGTTTCTCATATTTCCGTCCGGTACCTACTCAAACTCATTTCGTAAAATTGCGAATAGCAAAACTAATATTGTTTCATTTTCGGCTAATGAAACACTATCAGTGAGGTTGCATATTGAAAGCGTTTAACAATTTGTGATAGGATGACACCACAATATCGTGTACTAAGTAAAGGTCATATAAACAATATCATCATGACTTCACAGGCCTTCCCTAAGGATGGAATAGGGAAATTGGGCCACCACGCGAGCCTAATGCGGATTGGTGGATACTAACGACAATAAAATCTACATTATCAAAATCACTCAGCCCACGTTCCAGGTTTTTTTATATTTCTAAGAGAATTTTCGATAGTGGAAAAACCACATTTTTATAATAACGAGTGTCAAACTACGCAGTTTATTTTGCGCGACACGTCTAACGTCATATTACGCACTATTATTGGGTTTCATCCACGAATTAGAAATAATATTTCTTATTGATTCAGTTCGCGTGGTGTGATCGTTGTAGAAATTCAATGAAATACAATATCGCGTAACATACACTGCATGTGACAGACGACACTAAAAACCAAACTTTTATATCTATTTCGTGACTAATACCCTTTTTATCTTTAGACATAGTCAGTATTTTAATGTACGTTATAATTGGGAAGCTGGCGAATAAAATGGTATAATTACGCATACCAACTACTTTTTTTCTACAGTTCGAATTTGAATCTCAAATAATTTTCAATTAAAATCGCCTAAAATAGTGTTAAAATTACTAAAATAAATTAAAAACTACGCCAAAAGCTCACTGGTGGTGGATGTCATTCAGTTTTATACAGCTCCTGAAAAAATAATTTTATGTAATATAATTACATACACCGTTTTGTTCGTCAGCTCCTCAATAATATATTTTTGTTACTTTTAACATTTCTGTCGAAAATATTTCATCTACACTAGACACTTGGACACAACGTGTGACACTCGATGTAGACACTGAGTGTACTCTGTATAGTGTCATAAGTAGTCTAAACGTACTATTAGGACCGCGCCTGCTATGCATTTCGTTCGAACTCATTCACCCATGTCTGTTAAGTATTATTAAGTATTTTGACGCGGTCAGTACCTACGCCCGCTGATCATACATTATAAAAATCATTTTTTTCGTCACTAATCTACGGGATTGATATACTTTTATAGTTCCGTTCCACGTATTTTTTATTATGATCTAAAAATACTCTTGAAAAATATTTTATAATTCGTTTTTGTATTCTTGGTATGACGTAACCTCTAAAATTTCAATGTGGAATATCTATAAATCCAGACTTCCTTTATTAAAATAAATAAGACGAATCAAACCGAGAATCTAAACTCTATAATTTAACATGTAAATCATTTAAAGACGCAAAAAAAATTGTCAACAAAAATTTGTATGGGAGTTCGTCATTGTCCTTTGTACAAATTAAACAACCTCGGTCACCGAAAGACTAAAATCTTTAGGACAAAATAAATTTGAGAATATGATAATTAAATAATTGATAATATAATTGTCTTAGAGGCTCGGTAATGATCAATTAGTTCGTTCGTTCGTTAGTAAGTTCTGAGCATTTGAATAGTAACAGTATTTATTTGTTGAATGGCTTAATTACTTACACTTACCATATTTCAAATACAAGCTTAATATGAGAGATAAACTGTTTTAAAAAAAATAGATACAACAGTCGCTCTTACATTACATAATGTTCTCAAAAGACCATTCATATTAAAAAAATAACAAACTTTGAACTCTGACTAACACTGAAAGTGCTATACTATCTAGGTATAATGGTGATTTTTTACATTGAAGAAGGCAAACAGTTTAGAGGGCAATAAATTTAATTGCACAGTAAAAGGTAATAGATTGAAAAAGTTGTGGCTACCGGCTTCTCCTGTCGGAAACTCGACGAAAACTTTTGGAAACGCTTTATTGGCGATACTGTTAGTAGGTTTGCTTTGTGATTTTTTAGGGTTCCGTACCCAAAGGGTGAAAACGGGCCCTTATTTCTGTCACTCTGTCGTCTGTCTGCCGGTCCATATGCCACGGGCAAGGTAATATTATCTATACAGTATTCTATCTTCATACAAACGGTCGGAAAGCGTATCATACCTACGCCACTCGAGTTCGCGCGGCACCCGGTGGGCATCCAGTCGCGAATGCGCCACAGCGACGACCAAACTACGGTAATATTATATTACCGTGACCAAACGGTGTGAATTGTTTTTTAAGCACTTAGCCGTGCTTAAACGTGCGATTTGCATTGTGAATATTTGACTGAATTAAGTACATAGATACCTACATAATTTAATATGGCAAAGAGCAATAATCGATATTGTGCTGTTTTTGGTTGCTTGAACTTTTCAATAATTAAACTTTTTATACGAATGCGTATTTATTATACTATTGAAAATAATATAGCGTTTCTTACGTCTCAGTCGAGGCGTAAATATTTTTCTGTCTCAAATCTACATATTTTTTTTATTAAATATTACACTTAACATGTATTTTAATTAACACTTCCTAATTCATTCACAACAATATTTTTTTACATATGAACTAAAATATTTATAATCACAAAACTAGATGGAAACTCAATTATGTAGATGAAATTAAAATACTGTAGGCGGGCAGCCCTACCGCGTAGATACGCCCCGCTCGGCCGTAGGCAGTTATTTCAAGGACAGGGCCGAATCACAATACTGTATAGATAATATGACCGTACCACGGGCCTCTAGATTGTAAGCGGTATATGTTACAGAACTGGGATTTTGGTATTTTATGTAGAATGCTTGAAGAAGATTTACTTAAAAATTCTATTAAATTTTTTTCCCATACATGAAAAAGCTTTTTCTAGCTTTTTTTACCGCAGCGTGTTACATATTATTGTCAAGACAGGTGAGGAGAACCAACGAGTGGTTAGGATATTTTTTTTATTAACATTATCTAACAAAGAAATGACGGGAATTACGAATATACATATATATATAATTATTTACGAATTTCTATATTTTTGAAATACCCCCTGTATTTCAAAACCGAAACTTGTTAAAACTGTGAAATTTGACCTGGTCACCATAATTAGAAATAAAAATAATGAACAGCAGTTACCGCTTCGAGTCTTTATCGACCTTAAAAAAAGCTATCGACACGATAGTCATGAAATATCTATTGATAGAATATTTTAATTGTTCCTATGAGTGAAGATAAAGTAGTGTATGCAACTGCATATAATTTAGCTATTAAAACACGAGAGTCAACCTATTATAAACAGACTCTCGTGTTTTAGTACCCATTCTTATATGACAGTCGCATAAACTACTATTTCGCTGGTTTTTTTAAAAATGTCAAAGCATAGGGAAAAAATTAAGAAGATTTAAAAGAGATGTTGATGTGTTGCTTCAAATTTTAATAAACACTTTTGGACTGACTTTAATGTTAAATAATCGGAGTAAATATCGGAGTAAATGGAAGTTTAGAGGTGCATTTATTTTAAGTCCAGTCCTTTGACTTTCAATGAGAATTTAGAGATCAAAGGAAGAAAAAAGAAATCTTCGTTTAGAACCACGAGGGTGTATAGGTAATGTAACAAAGAGGAGTTAAGCAGAATTATAAGTATGCTAGTGACATCTGTAGAGCAGATTGTTCCCGGGTCGTTTGCTCCGTATGTCTTTGTATAATTCGGAAGCCTCATTCGCCTTACAAGATTTATTACGCTTCTATAATTTTCTTTTGTGACTCGAATTTTAATTAGATCTAAATTTGTGTCAGGAGAAGGAACAGATTCCGTCAAGTACCTAGATAAATGTCTACGCATTAGAATACATTCAAATTGTTTATGTAGGTATTTCATTGGCTTTAATCTATATGAATAAAACTGAATTGTCAAATTGTTTACATTTTATGCACATAACTTTCGAAAGACTGCACCGAATTGGATAATATTTTTTTATTGCATTCGTAACTGTCAGGAAAATGTTTGTAAAAACAATAAAACGAACCAAATAAACAAGTCAGCACAAAGTTTGATGAGTCAGCTAGTAGGAGAAAATAAAAACGATATATTTTAAAAGAAAAGTCTTGTCTGGAACCTTGACCGAGTAAATTGTTTTCTAATAAACCTATTCTTAAGATTTATAAAACGAGAAGATAATAAATTCAATACAAAAAATAATAAGCTATATCATTACTCAGTAATTAGGAGCTCGATGGCGCAATACTTAGGCTCGTATTACAGAATGACAACTAAGTGTTGATCTTTACTTGAGTACAGTTTGAAAGGGATGTCGCTATGTGACATCCCTTTCTAACTATGCTCAAGACTATAGACTACAAAGAATCTTTCTATCGGGCCTTAGTCTCTGATCATGCAGAGATTGTTGCAAGTTAGGCAACTTAAGTAATGGTCTTCACAGGGTGAGTTAAAAATCCGTTCGAATTGGAGCACCCATCTGGGGAAGTAAGCTCCACCTTACAAAAGATCAAAGTATAATAACAGTACCTTTTGATGGTGTTTGGTTTCTGTCGGCAAGTAAGGTTTCAAAGCTCTACAGGGTAGGGGATTGGGTTAGGGTAGGTAACGGCATCAGTGATAGTTTAAGTTTCACGAGCGTCCATAGGCTAGAAATACTAATTTGAGCTCCTCCGTGCTTCTTCTGCAAGATCTGTAGTCGTTATCCACCCATCGATCCGCGTTGGGCCTGGGCGTAAGTAAAGTCTTTGCGTCCTGTGCCACTCTTATTAGGCTGGTGATACTTTTTTTACATAGAGTAGCTGTTTCTTGACAGTTACGATTTCTTAGAAATATTTATTTTAAAAAGCTTGATAATTGTTTGACCTCATGACTTTTCCTATAAAATTTCCTCGTTCACTTGCTTCCTCTTTAGATTATTTAAGATTTTGGACGTAAACTTTTAAAGAATCAGAATAAGTCGGGAGACTTTGTAGTTACTGAGTAAAACCGGCAAGAAACTTAGCCAGTGCTGGTTTTTTCTCCTTGCCGTCAAGTCAAGTCGAATGCGATAAAGGCGAAACGCGATTTCAATCCTCTTAAAACATCTTTGATGCGGACCATCCCTGAGCTGAGTGCAAACTATGAGGCAGTTGCCTTAAAATGTATGCAATATATTCTCCAGTTTAATATGCATACTGTCGCACTAACATCAGCAATCAGCCGTGTTTAGCTTCAAAATCTCGTTTACTTCATATCGGGTTCGAGAGTCTTCTCCAAGGTGTCGTGTCTTGTGTCTCGAGTCTCGTTGTAAATCATTATAAAGGGGCCATTACCTTTTATTAGTAATAATATTGGTTTAAGCTCAGGTTTTAATGCCATGAATATTAAGAATTTCTCAGAACAGTTGCCGAGATTTTCTCATGAAAATTTGTTTAAGAGATATTCAGGCTTCAATCAAAATAAGTTAAATGAAAATTTTTCTTCAAATAATATATACAGTTCTATTGTTGAGTTATTTTTAATTTAACAACACTCTTAATGATTCTTAAACGCTGTTTTCAAAATTAATTCTCTAACTTTTATAAATAAAAATAGGATAAAAGATATATAGTGACTTTAAAAAATTAAACCCTACTGACATCATTATTTGCTTTATTTACAGTGACATTTTCTTTCACATTACTATGCTATTTTACCTTTGTCTCTATTATAAACAATAACTTAAGATAACCTCTTTTTTCAGGCTTTGCGACATAACAGTACTCAAAAAAATTAAATTTAACAAAGGAAAAGGCGATTTGCCGTTAGAAAGTCAACCTCTCAATCACTTATCACTTTTTAAACACTAGCCGATGTTTCTAAATTCCGAACGATGTGATTACAAAACAAACTCTCTCGGGAGCATATTTTTGGCCACTTAACTGCGCAAGTGGCATAACGCATTATGAATCTTAACATTTTCGCGGTTTCCCTCATCGTGTTGCATGATTTCTCAGATGTTACGGCTAAAGTGAAATATAAACACAGAGCTAATAGAACGTTAAATTCTCTACCGGGTCACACAAAAGTTACAGACGGCTTAGTGTTCCCTTATGTAGTGGCTATTTTGAAGAAATTCTCGTATTTGTGCGCTGGCGCGTTGCTGGATGATAAATGGGTGCTCACCGCAGCGGATTCCTTTTACGCGTGAGTCGTTTGAGTTTTACAAAATTGATTTTTAAGTTCTTCCTTTGTCTATTATGGAATCTTGTACAGACAGAAAAATAAAGAACGGGAAAACGACAAAGTTTTTGTTCGATCACAAATTGCAGAAACACTGTTATATACATGAATCAAATGGCGTTTGCACGTCAGTAACTCACTATTACGTGAAACTCCGGTAACCTTATTCACAAAAGTGGAAAACAAAGCAAAAAGATATAGAATTCTAGCACTTCTATTTATAGTTACAAGCGATACGGGTGCACTCTCAATAAGATGCACACTTATGGAATTACTTGAGTGGACGTCATTGACATCAATCGAAATAATGAAATATTTATGTTGTGGGAAAATGCATCTAATGCACGTTCTGCAGTCTAAGTTAGGGAATATAAAATCTCCAGGCGTCCTATCCCATTCTTAAATTCTCTGTGTTTTTGACATCTACTTTACTATATCTCTGTAAAATTTCAGGCTCAGAGAATCGTCCAGGGTGATAAGAGTTCGGTTAGGAAGCATCAATTACAAGAAAGGTGGATCATTACTCCCTGTGAAGACCATAGAAATCCACCCTCACTTCGACGATAGTAGGCCTGTTTATGACGTGGCATTGATAAGGCTGGCTTATAACGTACGACTTACTGCCAAATTGTACCCTATAAGGATGCAGACCAAACTGAAGGAAGTGATAGCGACACATGTGATAGTGTCAGGGTGGAGTCCATTTATGGTAATATTGAAATCATTCTTGTCTTGAGATTCTTGCAATTATATATTTGTGCTTATAGATCTCTGTAACTTTTGTGTATCTTAGTCATTTTAAATAGTACTGGGCCCAATACACAAGACGTGCTTCTTTTTTAATACAAAATGGAGAAGTATTAATTAAAGAATAAAGTAAGGCAATTTTTTAATAAAGATCGGCTAAAATACTTGCAATGCTAAGACAAAATATTTGAATATTATATTAAAATGTTCACAATCATGTTATGGTCAAACTTTACTTCAGTTGCTATCGAATCCACAAAATCTGTCATCAAATCAACAATAAATTTATCACTACTTCTTCTTTCCTTTTCGTTTCAAAGAAAATTATTTCATTTAACTTACCATTTAGGCCTTCTGATTTGAATATGACATATTTCAGCACGTGAAGAAGATTAACAAACAAGCACCGATTTCCACGGATTTGATAAAACAACAGCGAATATTGTCCATATCGCATCTTCATCCTTGGAGCGCAGCAGAATGTAAAGAAGAATTGAACTCCTTAGAAATTAATGATACAGAGGCAATTTTGTGTCTTGAACTGGATTCAAAGTCTGATTCATGTTGGGTAAGAATTTTTATACTAGGACAAAGCAAAGCTTAGTTTGATTGAAATCCTTTAACGTTTAGTTTGGAAAAAACAAATTTTGAAGTAAATAAAAAAGCCACTATAAAGATGTTTCCACCAACGATTCTAGGTTTGTTCACTTTTTTTTTTTGAGCGGCTTGGCCACCGCGTGCCCTTGGTGCCATTCGGCATAGGCCACCCCGTCTGGGGATTGCCTAGTACCCTAGCGCAATCCCCCAGAGGCGTGTCGCCCGGTCCACTCGTTGGACCGGGCCAGCCCGGGGGCGTCCCAGTGAGGTGGCGCACTCTAAGGTGCGTCGATCCTGAGACGCCCCCATATGGGCGTAGGAGGGTACCGGTGGTTTTTAGTGGGTAGGACCGGCGTTGTTCCGCGCCGGGGAGTTCCACACACGCCGCGCGCCCAGCCAGCGTGCGGTACGGTGCGTAAATGCATTTTCCATCGTCAACAAAAAAAAAGGTTTGTTCACTTTTAATAATTACCTTCTGGTAAGTCGGATATATTATTCAGCACGGATGTGAAACAATAAGACGTAAGCGTCCATAGTGGTAATTCTATACAACTACGTTTTCATACTATTAATCAGAAGAGTCGTGAAGTGTTATTGCTTGATGCGATAAGTCACATTCTCAGTTTGTTTGCCTTTAAGGATACACGACTCTGTGTGTAGGGTCGCTGTGTTCAAATAAATATCCGCGGGTTGATTTATCTTAGAGAAAACGAATCCAATTTTTATTTAGGTATATTATAACAGTACAAACATATGACGTCACCCCACCTGATGTTTAGTGATGGTGCAGTCCAGACGCAAAGATAACTGGTGCAGCAGTTTTAACAGCCACCCCAGCCATATTCACCATGCCAGCCTGTAAATGCCATTTCATTAGCGGATACTGTGTGTCAAACAAATGATTATATAAATAACTTTTTTCGCGTGGAATAGTTGCCACGCCAAATTGACAACGGAGGCCTGGGCGCGTGGTCCTCTAAAGGAAGTTTAATCAATTGCCTTCAAAATACAACGCGCGCTTAAATTTGCTCAGTTCTTCTGTGGTTTATAAATAAAAAAGAAACAGTCTTATTATCATTAGCCTTTTGAAGCTCCACAACCGGGACAGGAACCTTCACTATGCGAGAATGGAAACTCTTTGGCTTGGGCCCTGACTCAAAACGCAAAACAAGTGTTACTATCGTTTGTTCTGTATGATTATCGTGTCTCACCAAGTCAAAATTTTATTTTTATTATGACTTTCTCAAAATACTACCTATACAGAACTAGTAAAGTACCAATTCCAAAACATAATTTTTTAAATTTAGCTTTATCTTATCCAAAACGTTAATTACATCTTTCAGAGGGACACTGGTGCTCCGGTCGTATTGAACGGTGTACTATGGGGCATAGTCAGCTCATGGCATCAGGACGATTGCTACTTAGAACCGGGAGCTACCTTCGTGAACCTGGTGGCAGCCAAGAAAATCAGCTCGTGGATCTATTTAACTACCTACAGCGGGAACAAAACTGAGTATTCAAAGACTCGAGCGAGTACTGATGAAGATTACAGTTATGATGTTTGATATGATATTTGAATAAAGTAACAGTAGAGAAAGACGTAACGATTTTGTATAATAATAAGATAACTCAATAAATATTTGTTATATTATAATAATGTGAAAGTAAATATACTTTTGTCTTAACCCTAATTTTGGGATAAAAATAATGAACTTATGAAGAAAAACATAATATGGCAAAGTTTGTGATTGTTGTGAATAAATTGTATTGACATGCCATTTACATTGTTATACCTAAGTGTTGGAATGCAGTCTCGGTGAGGCTACTGAAGCTTCGAACAACATGATTGTTCCGTTATCACTTAATCGTGGTTACTTATTTATTATTTTAAAAGTGGGTAGGTTCGCAACGAGAACGATACATCTGCGAATGTGATTTTTTACTAGCCTAACGCAGACAGTTAGCCACTGATCACACGAGAGGACCTACGTCACTCCGTTCCGCGCCCGCGCACTCGCTAACATCGTATAACCCTGATCTTTACGTGCGGTATACCAAACAAGTGGAATTCGTCAACAATAAACTGTGAATTTCTTCTATGACTGTGTGTGCTGTTCCTGTGCCCCTCTAGCTAGAAGAATACGCGGACCACAAGCTTCCGACAGAGGTTTCAAACGTGAGTACGTTACGCTATTAGCAAACCCATTCGTAACTGTGTATTTATCGTAATCTCGTTGCAGCCCCCTTTCAATCGTTTTAATTACTTATATCGGCTGCCCCCAATATGTATTTGCAATAACAATACATGATCGAAGTATAAAATTCTTTATATTGCTATTATGGCAGTTTGCTAATAATCTGGACAATGGTCAATTACAGTTTATTTTATGTGTTAATTATGGGTAAGGATGAAAGTTAAACCACCGGGAACAAAAGACCTGAATAAGCCAGTCTATGGAGCAGATGCATAGTGTACTTTAAACAAACTGATATTTTAAAAATACCTTATATTGGTCCGTATTTTGGTCAATTGCCATGGGATGCCATGGCAATTCTTTGCAAAAGTTACTGAGTACCTAAAACCACAAACTGAGTGCGTTTCACAAATTTATGCATCACAAATGGAAAAAGAAAAAGTATGATTGCCTTTTTTTCCAAATGAAAAAGTATGGATAGATTGATGTGCGAGAATATTGCTCGTACATCTTCGTTGAAGAATTGACTCTGGAAACTATAAATATTACAGTGAAATATTGTACTCTATTTGCTCACGGGATGGATATAAACATTTAACTTTATTTATTGCATCAAATATCTGCTGATGGATTTACGAATGTGTTACAGTAATATTTTAATTTCAAAATAAAAAAGGAAATTATAAGCCATCCTTTTTGTAGAGATTAATTAGATTTCCTAAAATGTTTCTACAAAGGTGAAGAAATAAATTTGTCGAATAATTTCAAGAAAGCTTCTTCTTCTTCTCTCTCATTTCACTCTTGTCTGAGGAGTCGTTATTACGATTAGGCATCTGGGGAGGGGGCAGATGTATCTCACCTTAGGTTTTCAAGCCACCTAGCTCTACTCGTTGACTACCTGGTGCAATCATTAATACAGCCTCTAATTGCAGATTTAATTTGGTTAGTCCATTTCATAGGTGACATGCCAAGTGATCTGGTACCTTACACTTTTATTTTAACAAAGCTAGGGATTTTATAAAAAAAATAGTGATATTATGTAATAAGACTCTGCCAGCGTCACCGACTGAGGCGGATATAAGGTCTTAAAATGTTGAGGTGAAAGCCCATCTAGACCACAGACAGAGCTACATTTGAAGGGGAATATTGCAGCCTAGATGTCAGCTTCTTTGCTTACTAAATGAGCATTTTGAGTTCAATCAGGTGGTGAAGGTAGGAGAAGATTTGATGCTGGAGATGAGTGCTTATCTTCAAGAGCACTAAGGGTCTCCTGGCAGTTGACGACGACAACACCATTACTAAACAAGAGTTTGACGGCTTCTCAGACATCGCCATCGCTTATTTTAGACTCTATTAGCTTAATCGATTTATTAGAATTTGGAGGCCGAGAGGAAGGAATGACAAGCGAATAAATAGAAGGATTTAGGCGGCAGTTCTCCTTATTTTTTGTGTTAGAAGTACAAGTGCTATTTTAGTTAATGTGTAAAATTCTAAAGGAAAATGTTGAGAGTTCTGCCTCGCTTTCAGACGTTTTTACTCTTAATATATAGTCGATGCAATTAATTTAAATCTCTAACTTTTGTAGTTTCGACAAAAAATATTATACATAGTTTTGCAGGCCAGTGCAGATCAAACAAATATTTTCTATTTCATGATTTTTATTAATATAATCGAGTACTTTTTTGTCAGAATAGTGAAACTCATTCCAATTTTCATATAAAAACATATGCCAATAATTGATACTTTATTTTCCAAACTGTCGAATAGCTTATTCAGTAGGAGTAAAGATTTTAGAAAGTAAAGGGACTGCGTTACGTACGCTTTAATAATGGACGAGATCTAGCTGCGAGGTAAAAGCCACCTCAGTAGTGAGTGCATTCAATGTAACGGCTCTATTCAAGACTAGCTTCTATTCTCAAAGTAGTACTTAGTAGTAGTAAGGATCTAGGAACACTGAAGATACGACACCAAGATAAACCCTAGATTTACAAAACGAAGAACACTGTTCTAATAATAATAATTTATTTCTACTAAATTGTTACATCATGAACACAATAAATAATTTAATTCTACAAAATTGCAAACAATCGTAGATACTTATCAGAGTTATTTTTTATTTGAGACTGAACGTAACAATACTGTAGCATTGACTGTTGTAACAAAACAAACGTAATGAAATCAATTAAAAATAATTAAATTAAAATTAATTTTGTATGTATGTGTTTGCCCCTCTATGTGTGTATGCGTGTGTGTTTGTTATGCGGGTGCACGTGCGCACACACTGTGCGCACGTGCACGCGTGTATGTATATGGACAAAAAAAGGTATAGTATGGGAAAAGAATGTATCGATGAGATGTTGGCCTTATTTTAAGTGCTTAAAAGGTCCTCTGTTTGAAGGTAGCTCATGCACTTCAGCCTATTAGTGAGCACGCGTTTGGCTTGTTTCAATGTAGCTGTTTTTATGTCACATAGCATTGTCATTTTATTATACACATTCAGGAGTATATGACTAGAAAAGCGTTGTGCAAAAGCGGAATGCACTCTGACAACGGGGATCCTAAATACTATTTTGCATAAGAGGGAGTTCTAATTGGGTGAGCTATAAGCAAAGTATTAACTTTACTATGCAGTTTTAAAGAGGCTATAAGGTATATAAAGTAGCAGTACATTGAAAATTTGCGATTCAGAATAAAGACAGTCGATGGGGTATAAAAATGATTTATTTAGCATCGTCTTTAAGACAGCTCGTTGTGCTCTCTCCAGAACTAACATGGCGGTGAGACCAGTTCCACCCCAGACAGAAATACAGGAACGAAGTAGTGACTCCCCGAGACTCTTATATACGAAACGGAGAATCTCCTTGACAGCGCAGCTCCTAAGGGTTTTCATGACGTAGATCAGCTTTCTCATACGGAAGGCAGTAGTTTCTATGTGCATCTTATAAGATAGGTTTTCGTCTATAGTGATACCCAGATTCTTGGCATCTGTAACTCGCTCTAAGAACTGGCAGGTGCAATATTCAGACAGGCAATCTGAGTGAATACGTAAGGAACGGGTAAGAGGAGGTTCTGATGCTTTGGTGGTGATTTTTAAAATTCAAAGACAGATTATTGCCATCGAGACAATTTTTTAGAATAGTCATTTCCTCTTCTGCCTTATTAAACACAACCTACTAGCATCTGTCTTGAAAAATGACAAGAGTATCATCTGCATAGTAATATATTTCGACATCACGTGGTTTTGCTTAATAAATATCGTTCATAAAGAAAATGAAAAAAGTTGGACCCAAAACACTGCCCTGTGGAACACCAAAACGTACAGGCAGCTCGTCACTAACAAACTCTTCCACCCTTGTGAACTGTCGTCTGCCAGTTAGATAACTCCGAAAGCAATTCAAGGGTAAGCCTCTTATATCAATAATCTCCAACTTTTTCAGTAGCAAGCGTACCGGTACAGTATCGAATGCCTTAGCAAGATTCAGGAGAACTCCAATGCACTTACTATCTTTGTCATGGTGATTGGTGTCAAATTCAACTATGTTCGTGACAGAATCTTCTGTAGGCTTTCGGTGTCTAAACCCAAACTGCTTAGGGGAAAGTAATTTATGTTTTTCGTGATACAATTGCAGTATTTTATTTACAATTTTCTCGAGTATCTTAGAAAATACATAAAGTAGTTGTTGCAGATATTTACAGATTCACTAACGAGGTTTGAGATTAGTAAGTTCCATAGCAAGACTGGAGTTTCTTCCTGTATTACTTATCCCTCTTATGGTCTTTCAGGGAGCTTTCGGATCATTTTTGCTACTGGCAAGTTCCTTTGATTCATATTTCTTTTTTAAGTGATGCAAGAGATTCATAAGGTAGTTTTGTAGACCAATTCTTTCATTTTGTGATTCCTTAGAGCCTGTTTCTGTATTTTGTGCATCTTAACAGACCGGAAGTCATCCAAGGCTTCAAGATTAGTTTTGAGAGATTGATTCATTTTTTGGTAGTATGGTATATTATACACTACAAACAAGTAAATCATGATCTAGAATAGTTAAATCTAATACAAGACACAATTTTGCACATATCGTACAACATCACTACAAAAAAGTTAATTCAAAGCATACGAACGTCATTATTTTGCTTATAATAGTAGAAACGTCCAGCAGTACCATACGCTGGCCATTAACTGAACTAACAAGACATTTCGAACGACTAAATAAGCGCGACCAGGATCAGTGGTAGGAAAAGGTGCGGAGCAAGTAAACAGGCGTGAATCGTTGTAGAAAAAACAAATAGATCTGCAAAGGGCGCGACTCCAGTTCATGAGCGACAAAAATGCTGTAACATGAGCGATAAACTCCACTATGAACTCATTTGATAAGTAAAATTATTGTATTTCTATCTGTAATTATGTTGTGTTTTCATTTATTTTTATAACCTGACAATAAAAATAATATATACTAATAAATATCTTAT